CCTATGGGGCCTGAGTGTGTGTTCCATATGTGCTTGATCCAGTGATCCGGGGTAATAATGTTCAGCGCATAGAGAAGTTTGATATGCGCTATATAAGTACTGTCTCTTATACACATCTAGATGTGTATAAGAGACAGTATATAGACAAGACAAGACAATCCAGTAACTCTTTTCATTTGTTTTTGTTGCCTGTTTAATTACCTGTACAGTATACCTAACTCAAGTTATATAGCTCAAAGTAAAAGGACATACCGCATGTCGGAGCCTCGTTTGACCACCGAAGAATCGGCAAACACATCAACGTCGATGAACCTAAAAGAGTAAACCCTTCGTTGCACGTGTATGTTACCGTATCCTGGATGTTAAAATTGTTTCCACTTCGTTCTCCATTCACAATGTCACCCGGATCACCACATGAAGTATCTGGATATGATAATTACAGTAGTGACAAGAACTGAAATTATGGCGTATTTTTGTCCAAGTCAATAAATCCCAACCAATTCTGACAAATCAATCAGTGAAGTTTGGCTAAATTAAAACCCTAATACTGTATATAACAAACTCTATCATAGAGCGTTGTGTTTGTTAGAATTGTGATTTATATATATTTTTGGTAAGTCAGTAAGTGATGATAAAATCTCATAAAAGGGATTTTCAAAATCACAACGTAAACTTTAAAAATTCAAATTCAAGTGCGCATGGGTAATTATGCACACAATTTTACTATTTGTCCTGAACGTGAAAACTGTGGTGAAACCGTCGAAATTTCCATGCCCATGGAAATGTCGTAATTTTAGCTACACATTGCAATTATTGGTTTAATCGGTGAATATTAGGTCTTGAACGTAGTACGATATGCTCTGGATTGGCTAATTTAAAACCATGAAATAGCATTAAATAAAAGCTTATATCCATAAGACAATTGTTTGGTTTTTTTTTTCAATTATGTCTTCTACTATATTTTTCAATATCTACCTGACCACCAAATTTAAATAAAGGGTATCACTTGACAATTCCACATGTTCGATGATTCAGTAGATTATCTAAGTTAAAGAGTGACTTGTATGTTGAAATTATGATATGTAAATATACTATCGCATCATGAGTCATAATTTATGACACTGAAGATATTATATTTATTATCAAAAACTTAATATTTATTATTAAAAACTGTTCCATTTGCTATTTTGCATGTATTCAATGCAATTCATAATATTCATTTCGGCATTCCATATTTATGAGGGACTTCCTTATTTAATTTTATTATTTACAACTTTATATATAAATAGTGAACCTCTATACTAAAAAGATAGGACAAACAACGCAGTTTTTCGTGTAATATCAGTTTTATTATCTAATATAAAAATATTCACGGTACGAAGCTGATGCAAATATAGTTCACAACAAAACTAAATTTGAATTTCAACAAACATGAGTGATAAAATTAACATTTAATATATATATATTTATAACAAAAGAATATAGGAAATGAATACCATGTATAAACTTTAGAAACACTTTATTGGAGAAAACCAATATTTCGACCTATCCTATCAAATAATAATCATTTACTTTCAGTTAATAAAATCCACAACCTTACCTACAAAACATCAGGCAAACAGCATCGTACCATACGCGACGCTGACCGTACGCAGGAGCAAGGTTGCCTAGGAACCTTCTCAGTACGTAAACAAGGTTGCCAGAACTCTCCCATATGTTTATACAATGTTCTCGTCTAGACTCCCTACATATATATATATATATATATATAGTCTTACTTGAATTGCCTTAATATTTATCAAAAACGACAATTTATTTTTTATTTTTGGGGTAACTATAAATTGGATTAAATAGATCGTAAAATAAATGCTTGAAAGAATAAAAATTCATAAGCCACTAAAAACCCCGAGATGCGAATTAAATTAAAAATGAACAATCTAAAAAAGAATGCTAACATGAAGGAGCCTAAACCTATGTCTACAAAGAACAATAAATCATATAGGCTGCCGATATGATATACGCCAATCATTGGAATAAAGATGTAGTAAAGGATCTTGTAAATGTTCAGGGTTACGTTTTGACATAGCTTTTTCTCCCTCTTCTTTTTTGTAGGCCTGGTCTTGGTGAGATTCTTCTTCTGTTACGTTTCGCAATTTTTGTTGCTTTTCGTCTTTTTCTCTCTGGTTTATATTTATATATTTATAAACATACATATGTATACAATTCTTTCGAAATCCAGCTTGCGTTCTTTACACATGCAGTCGGATTGTATGTACAGATTTCTGGTCGTCTCGTAAATGCGGGTTTGGTCCATTCCAATTGGCGCCAGTAATGTTAAAAAATTATTTAAATCAATTATTTAAATCAATTAAAATTGATATTGGATTCACCATATCAATGTCCCTGAGCTAGTGGTTATGACGTTCGCCGTGTATGCAAAAAGTCCGGGTTCGTGATCTGGTGGCAGTCTACGATATGTGAATTCTATACTGTTTCTAAAACGCAAGTTTTGCTGTTATACAAAAACTAATATCTTTTCATTTTTATAGTATTTAGATATATTGTGTGAAATTACACACTGAAAATAAAAGCACACTCACATTAATACTCAGAAAGGCTTAATCATTTCAACAGTAAAATACCAACTGAACAAGTAGGCCTAAATGCATTAACGAAAAATATTCCTATCAACACAATCTAAATATTACATTGTATACAAATTTAAAGCGAAAATCATCACGTCGTTATTAACTTAATATCAAGTCGGTTACAAAAATATAAAAATAATAAACCCGATCTTCAACTGGCATTATAAACATTTTTTAACGAAACACAAGGTATAAAATAAACAAAAGTATAATGCTTGTATTTAGAAGAAAAATGTAAAAATACAAAAAAAAACAGCATTACTTAAATATTATTGCCTACCTATGATACTAGAGCAAGATGCGTCTTTGCCGCTCCATTCACCGGTCCCGGTGCATACACGGCGACTACTACCGCTCAGTTTATAACCGTCGTTACAAGAGAACCTCAATACTTGTTGTCTATAGAATTTGTCTCCTATTATAACGCCATTCTCCGGAGCTTCCAAGATTGGACAGTTAATGACTGAAATTTGGGGGGAAAAAAGTAACATAATACATATTAATAGCCTGTATGTCTATTCAGTAAACGGTATGCATCTAGTGATGGATCTGAGGGTAGGGATCATCTCCTCTGAGGTTTCGACTAAATGAAGTAAAACAAAAATAATGCGTCTCTGTTTCCTCTTTTAGATTTTGTAGATCCATACCTGAAACAGCGTACTTGTTTACTTATTAACTTGTTTACATGTTTAATTGTTTCTTTACTTATTAATTTCTTTACCTGTCGTCAACGGCAACGAAAAGGCAAGCCGTACCCTACGACTCCCAACCAATTCCAACCACACTCATAAAACTACTGCAGTTAAAATGATGTAATAATAATAATAATAATTTTGGCTTATATAGCGCATTATGCTAAAGCCTCAATGCGCTTAACAATAAAAATAAAAATGCTAGGAGAAATTTAAGAAAGTACATGTTAAAATGGTGAGTTTCTAAAGCTGCCTTAAAATCAACAATGGAGGTTGCCTGTCGGATTGTAATAGGCAAATCATTCCAAAGGAAGACAGAAGCCCAAGAAAAAGAACGATTGCCATAATGCTTTGTTGACGGGCGAATAGAATGAGCAAGTAGAGACTCTAAAACTAGATCTCAGAGACCTCTTAGGAATATAAGGATAAATTAGTTGTGAAATAAACAATGGTCATTACAGAAATTCTTAAAATAAATTATATTATTTAACAATAATGTTCAAGCTGTTAACGGGGCGCGAAGGTTAAGTCTGCTCGATGATTAAGTGATGGGGACTAGCTCGCAAAATAAAGCGATATGAGGTGATTTTTAACTATCTTTGCTTTGAACATATTCAAGTGCGGGGGGGTGGGGATGGCAAATAAACGGGCCCTGAGCACCCTTCAGATACGCCACTGCCACTGGGTACACTCCCTTCTATTTTCTGCATTTTGTATCAAATTATTTAACTAATCATAAGGGGCGAAGTACATTTTTAAAATATCATATAACGATACAAATTACGTTAAATGTTACCAAAGAGTATAAATAGAACAAGAGAGCAAAGTCCCGTTCGTAAAAACGTCATGCCTGTGTAGGACGCCAACTAACGGTTGTATATTCTTTTTATTACCCAGTGCAGCGCTGCGCAGCGCGGTAGA